ATGAAACGTGCAACTGCAAAACCATAAAAGTTCCGGTTTAAAGGCATTAAATGGCTGTCTTATTTTGATTGCTGATCTCAATCACATGAGAAAATCTTGTCAATCTCTTCGCCCATGAATTTGCAAAATTTAAAAATTGCATTTTCACGCCGTTGATTGCTTTGTTGACCATGGAACGAACTCTGGGATAAAATGCTGAGTATAATCTGCTATCGGAGGGCATTTCCGTGGCCGTCTTTCAGATAGCACTTTCAGGTAATCTCAAAATAAACTTCATTGTTTATCAGTGGTACACAACTTTGAAGAACAAGTATGTACATCCAAACTAGAAAGTCTAACAAAGAGCCTTTAAAATATACAAAAAGTTCAAGTTTGGGTGGTGAAATTATGATTTTCTTAAAAGCTTCTCACTTATCTTTGAGGAACTTTTTTGCAGTCTGCAGTCGAATTTCTCCTTTTCACTTTTTTTTCTAGGACATCTAGACTGACATAGCACTATTACTGGTATATGAGTAGATGTTTTCCATTGTTCTAAACAAAAAACCCGTGCGATATCAGGATACGGCAGTTTTCGATCGATTACTGCGGCGGTGGAACCGGCCGCTATTGACAGACGCATGGCGGCCGATGCCAGCAATTGCTGTCCTTCGTACTTCATTTGACTAATGCCAGATTATCTTCGTGGTTTTCCTTAGGAGTCCGGACCATTAAATCGTAGGACTTCCCCTTTATTCTATCAGTTTACCAACAACTTAATCATTTTTGATCCTATCCTGGTCAAATGTCGATCAAATTCGAGGATATCGATGACTACGGTGAGTGCAATGAGCACATAAGGCGTAGCATTGAGTAGATCTCCACATGCACATGGTGTAAGTGCACACCTCACACCATATCTAAGATCTTGTCATTGCGGAGGCCAATGGAAGGCTCTCGCACGAATGGCGCGCAGGATCCTCCAAAGGTTTGCCGCTTTTGCTTATGGAGTAACTGATGGCTAAGTAGCCAAACCTTCTCGAGTTTATTGTTTTGCTGACGTAAGTGATTAAGGGAGCAACGACATATATCCTCTAATGAATGGTATGCCTGATTGATATGGTGTTTGACAATAGAACAAATTCAAAAATAGAAAATAGGAAAAACTTGAGTTGAAAAAAAGAACCAGTTTTCTACTTTCGATTAATGTTGATCCGTACATCTCTGCAAGTATTCTCTGATGATTGAATCAGTTGCAAATAAATAATTTTTGTGCTTTGGTGCGACGGTTTCAGGTAGTCTACATT